CGAAGATACGATTACGGCAGAGTTCTTTAAGAATTTATCTAGTCAATGGATTTATATCCTACAGTCTGTATTCAATAACATTCTCTTAACTGGAAGCACACCAGCTTCTTGGTCACGATCCGTACTTGTTATGTTACACAAAAAAGGTGATATAAACTCACCCGAAAACTATAGAGGCATTGCTCTATGCAATATTATCTTAAAAATTTTTACCCATATTCTGCATGATCGCCTCTTGCCATGGGCGGAACAACACAATAAAATTCCTGAGTCGCAAAATGGGTTTAGAAAAAAAAGATCATGTACTGATAATATTTTTACTCTTCAAACAACAATTCAATTACATCTACGTCTAAAAAGTAACTCTGCTTACGGACTTTTTATTGATTTCAAAAGGGCATTTGATTCTATTGACCAGATGCTGCTCTGGCAAAAACTTCATTCGCAAGGTATAAGTTCGCGCCTAATTAAAATTCTCCAATCTATTTACGACAAGGCTTTCTTCGTGATCAAACTTCAACAAAAAGACTCCGATCCTATCTCTGTTACTGAAGGCGTTCTCCAAGGAGAAATTCTCAGTCCTCTCCTTTTCATATTGTTTATTGCTGATCTTGAGAAAGAACTAAGGAATGCAAATATTGAAGGGATCAATATTAATGGTCTACACGATATTTTGATGCTGCTTTTTGCAGATGACGCCGTTGTTCTAGCCAGGTCCCCTATTATTTTACGAAAAATTCTATTAGCACTTGAAAGCTACTGCGAAAAAAACAAACTTGTTGTAAACACGGAAAAAACCCAAATTGTCCACTTTAGAAGAGGGGGAAGGCCAATAGCAGAAAATTTCTTTTACAAATGTCAAAAAATTTCTGTCGTGAAGTCCTACACATACTTAGGAGTAAATTTCTCAAGCTCCACATTAGGCAAATGTGCAGCAGAAACTGCCATAAGAAAAGGGAAAATGGCGCTCGGTACGGCAATACAAACTATAAGTAAATTTAAATCTGATTCTTGGGAAGGTCGGGCTAAACTTTTCGACTGTACTGTATCCGTAACACTTTTATATGCATCAGAAGTGTGGGGTCTACGTTACTGTGAATCACTAGAAATCGTTCAATCAACGTACTACAAACGTTTGTTAGCACTCCCCCAAGCTACGAACAATGCAGAACTTAGACTTGAACTAGGCCTTGTAAAAATCTCATATAGAGTTTTCAAACGCGCAATCGATTTCATTATACGAATTCTCCAAATGGACCAATCAAGATATCCCAAACAATGTCTCCTTCGTCTCATTTACCTACACGTAAATAATTCTTCTACAAGTGAATTTAATTGGGTTACACAATTTAATGAGTTTCTTAAAGTTGTAAATATGACAAACTTGTGGAAAACACCGACTGCAGCAACTTGGATTGATAACCGAACTACGGCCCTTGAACGCTATCATAGATATCTTAAATTCAAAGACATTCTAAAATCCGCCAACTCACAATCCATGAATTGCAATTTATTAAGAGCCCTGGATGACAAACCTGCCTGCTACCTCTTTGACCGTAAGCAATTTTTTATGGCAAAGGTTATCGCCCAATTGCGGTTGTCATCAACTCACTGCACTCGTTTTTGTATTAACGGGCAAATTCATAGACTCGAAATCAACAACCTTTGTACACTTTGTAATTTAAAAACTGAAGAAACGTTGAATCACTTTATGTTTGAGTGCTCTATTTACTCCTCAGTAAGAGATCACCATCTTAGTTTCTTACTTACAGTCTTTAGAGACAATAAATCTCTCATTTTCAACTGCATTGATCCGCAATCATCTAAAGCAATATTCACATATATAGTAAATAGTCTTAAAATCAGATCATTTATTATAAACGAATAAGATTTTGCAAAATTACAATTATTTCCCTACTATTTATTTAACTTAACCTTTTTTTTGTTTTTATCTAATATTTTTATTAAATCTAATTAGTAATATTTTTAATTTAAATTAAAAATAAGTATACATCAAACCTCCTTCTGTTACAACTATAAGTTCAGAAGCAGAAGTAAATAAATGTTGAATTGAATTGAAATATATTAAGACAATTTAGTTATGTTACTTACAAAAATATAATCTCCAATAGATACAATACATAACTCCCCAAATGTAAATAGTTCGAAATCGCTCGTTGAGCTGGGTAGAGCACATACTATTAAATAATTGGTTGCTTTTAATACATATCTACACATATCAAAACATATTTTTGTTTCAGATATATCACGTCAAGTATTCTTTAAATTCGCAAAAATAGCTATTACAAAATCTCTATAGAGGTAAAACTTCACCTGGTATAGTTAGGGATCAATAGTTTCAATAGTTTCAGTGGCTTACCGTTAGGCAGACTAATATAACCTAACCTTGTGAACCATGTTTACCAGATATATTTACAGCCTGTTATAGTGTGTTATAGTCTGTTATAAATAAAAAGACATATATAGTTTTTTTCTAGCCAGCACACTAGAATCTCACAGTTTTGATATAGGCTGTGGTTTCTAAAATGACTTATTTATTAGAGCATTGGCTAGCGTTGGGTTTGAACGATTGCTATCGCTGGACCCGTTACTGATTTTTATTAAAAAAAAACATTATCATTATTATTTAGTTTGAATTGTATAATTAAAAATAATTCAATAAATTCGTCAACAGATTTCTTCGATGTATTCTCAAGATGTAGTGGCTAAATATCATTAGTATTTCCGACTTATATTGACACCAATGGTCAATTGCGTAAAACCACGAAAACGGCAGTGACTAGGTCAAACATTGCAAAAGGACGCCACGGAAATTTGTCTACAACCTCTTGATTAGATTCCCCAAGGCAGCCGCAAGAGGAGACATCCTAAAAACATGTGAAGGAAAATGTGGAGGAGCTGAAGATGGAAGTGTTTTATTGAATTCTTGTATCCAGTGAGGGATATAAGGGATACCAGAATTGATGATGGTGATGATATTATTAAGAAAACTTTTTTTGAGAAGTAAAAAGTCAACTTCGACTGGGTAATATATGGAAGCCGTGTTGAAATAAGTCCAAAAATTTATTAACTTAAAATTAGTTGCAGTTCAATTGGGTCATTCCATAGTATTCCATTTTGTTAAAACATTTGTATGTAGTTCCTTAAATTATCAGGGGACCTTTATAGCAAACTATGCCATTGAGTATTAACTTTAATGAATTTTTTTTTTAAATATCGTTTATTTTCCTTACATCATGCGATATTAACTTATCAATAACTAACAAAATCAGTGATGAGATTTATATTTTTATGTATTTTTCATTTCTGGTTAAGTTTAAATGTTTTGATTTAATTATTCTTGAGCATAATTTAGAGCAAGTTTAGTTGTTGGTTCATATTTAAATTTAAGACACTAGAACATTGTGTTCAAAGGAATTACTTTTCCATTGTCTTTGTCGGCCAAGGACTACTGCTGTTTTACAAACTGAAATAATTTTGTTCAAATAATTTTTCGGTTTGTCGTCTACATCTTCCAGGATTTTCAAAATTTATTGCAATAATATCTTGCTTCCGACACAAGTGCATGCTTCGTTCCATTCTGTATTATATTTCATTATTTGCTTATTTTTATTTAAAAAACTTTTAAGTCTTTAATTGTTGAAGTTTCAGTACTGCATTGCAGGATTAAGTCCCTAATGCAGTACACGAATGTAAAGATGATAATGACGATGGTGTAAACAATTTGTGTTTATTTGCACAAATGCCGTGTTCACAACTTTTGAATTAAAATATCATTTTTGTGGACATTTTTGTTTTCTTTGGTCAAATAAATTCGTTTGGTACACATGTGTCCAGTTTCGAAAAAATCATCACTACCCGCACAACGACCACATAAATTACGAAATTCAGATTTTGATTTCATTTACAGAGGATTTGCAATAATAGTTGCAGACTTTATTAACTAAAACTTTAAACTCTTGAAAAAAAAAACCAACTCCATGTATAAATTATTCTAATTCTACTTTGTTTAATATTGGGTAAATAGATAGCAAATACAACATTTTTCACAGCCAGAGTACAATGACACTAAGTTTGGAAAAACTTCTTCAATATATTAATGTTATATACAAAGTATCTGCGGTTTTTTGTCCCTAGATGGTGTTAGTACCCAGATATCTGCCAACAATAACGAACTGGCAACATCGGCAGTTCAAACGAACTCGTGTCCAAAAGTTACTTCGCCGGTCGGATAAATAATTACAATGGTTTCTTAAGTAAATTTATAACTGAATCAGTATTGGGACTTAAATCACAACTGTGAGATCGGATCTAAGAGAACAATAATCAATAAACAATACCACGAGCACCGGAAATATGTTATTAATATAACAATACTTACACTTATCGGTTTTTCTTATTTTAAACAAATTATTTTTTATTATAGAATTTTATTATTGTTAAATTATAAAGAGTCACTATTTAATGATTGAGTGCACTTACGATATTTCGGCATAAACTGTAGTGCTTAGGTGGTGTAAACGCTGAATATATAAATTTTATGGAGTTGACCAATCCTGAGCATGTATGTATTTTTTAATTCTGCTTCGAGCTTCATAGCGTCAACAAATCTTTTCTCTGGACTATAATATATCACAATGTCTTTTCTTCCACTGCATACATTTTTTCAGTTAATAATTCATCCAATGAAGATAAGAAGTTAATCTATTTTTTACTTTATTGACTCCAGTTAATCATTTCTGCGAAAGCTTTGGCATGTGCTGATCATTGTGATATCGGGCGAGATGTCTAAGTTTTTTTCTTTAACTATATTATAATGTCGTGGAGATGATAACAAAATATTTACATTTTTGGAAAGCTTTTAAAAATGGATAAGTGATGCAAAATGAAACTACAAGGGACTTACTGCAGCAGATTTGCCATCAGCGCTTTTTTCTTGTTCTTCGGAAGCATCTTCCCATAACAACAAATTAAAAAGTAAAAGCTGAAGAATTGCCACCGCGTCCTTGGTTTGTGTATCGTCGCCTTGTTTGTTTATCTCTTCAAGTGCTTTATCATGTGCTTTTTTCGCAATGCAACAGGCGTATTCGTGATTTTGTAGAAAGTCGTGTTCGAACAGAGAGTGGTTAATCATCAAAGCCAGTCGGATTGGATTAGTAATTGTCAATTTCTTCGAAGCTAATTTTTGAGCAGATGAATATGAGCAATAAGCGTTCTGTTTAGATAATTCAAGGTTCGTGCCCTTTTCAAATTCCATTAAGTAGCGATGAAAGTCACCTTTCAACTTTAAACAAATAACTTTCGCTTCTTCTGTGACGGCATTTGGTAATAATTTTGTGTCCAATAATCTAAGTATTTCCAGGCAGTGTAAACGAATTTCGGTCTTAATTTGATTACATAGACTTTCCGCTTTTTTAATATTACCAATATTACCTAGCTGTTTCTCACCGTTAAGTAATTTTTTAGCTTTATTCAAGGAATTACGGCGCTTATTAATAACGGATTTATATGCCAAAGACAGCCAGTAAAGTTCATCATTACTAAATTCTGGATCACAACCTATCAAATTTTTAACAGCTACTATCATTTCATCATAGTTTTTGTTTTGATCGGATTTCACTATTCTATTCACGAGCATATTTCTTAAGTCAATATCGTAGAAATCCATTGCTAATCGCTTTTAGAAAGGTACCAACAAAGAAAAATTCCAATGACATAATCCAAGAATCAAATATCAAATAAGTCTTCAGCCAACGTTTTTTCAATTATTTCTCAATCAATTTTAAATTTTGAATTTATACCAATGTTGTGAATAAAATTTGGAAGAAAAATATTGCCATTACATTATAAATAAACACATTGATACATTATAAATTTATATTAATTTAGTTTTTTAATCAAAGAAAAAAAAATTCTTTTTTGAATTATAATGCAATGACAGCTGATGGTGATGCCATAAATTTTTTTTGTTCAAATCATGTGTTAACTACAAAAACTATAAGTGGGTGTGTTCTTTTGACATGAATGCTCCAACAGAACCACTTTTGATGTTTAAGAATAACTTGGAATCACTGCCTAAACCAGTAAATACATGACAAGTAAAAAAATTTCAAACAAAGTTACGATTGAATATAAAAAAAAGCTTTTTATATAAATATACATATATAGAGAATACTAGATCGTACATATATAGAGAATACGAGATCGTACATATATAGAGAATACGAGATCGTACATATATAGAGAATACGAGATCGTACATATATAGAGAATACGAGATAATTTTCATACTTCTAACATCACTAGTTAATGCTAAATGAGCAGTATTTAACACTGTCTTATTTTTCTTCCAATTGTCTTTTTGCTTTAAGAAATTTGAAGATATTTAAATTTACTCATTAATACTCGCAACGGTTGTAAATAATAAATAGCTTACTAGAGTTTTCCATTTTCTTCCAAAAATCATTCACAATGGATCAGTTTTAAAATTTAGCAGTGCGAGACACTTATTTGTTTATCACATTCTGAAAAGTGGGCTCATTTTTGGGAATTTTGTTCTTCATTTGGCTGTTAATTTTTAAGCGATATATATTGTATTGGAACATTCATGTCAAAAGAATACACCTTATCTATATGAGTTAATTTTTATGGAAGCAGTTTGTGTAGTCAATCATCCTCTTTAGCAGCTTTATAGAACATGGTCACTGTCACATTAGGCACTCGTTCATTTATAGGCCTACTCTTTTGCAAGCATAACGGAAAAAACTGCTTACTTAAAAAAAAAACATATGACACAACAACACTGCTGGCTTATTTAGTCTAACCTTTTTCAAATTGATTAACTAATAAGCAGCTCAAATCACATGGTTGCCATGACTGAAAATTTGTCTATTGTGAATGATTTTTGGAAGTACACACGAAATTTTCAGTTAAATGTTGCCAACGATTAATTTCGTTAATTATTCGTATTTAGTGTCGTCATTGTTCATAACAAATACGTTATTTTTTCATGAAAAATTATATTTTATTCACAATCATGTAAAAAAAATTTCATCAATAATTACAAAGAATTATTATTCATTACCGAAATTTAAACTTTAAATTTTATTACGTGTTTTGCACATATAAGCCGAAAAAAATCTCCATTTAGAGTTGCCATAGAAAGTAGTGCTTATTTTATTTGTTCTTTTGCGGCATGCTAACAAAGGAAAAGGCTTATATAAATCAACAATCCTCCTGGCTAATTTAGTTTAGTTTATTTGAAACCGCATATCTAATAAGCAGGTTAAATTGCATGATTGTCAAGACTTATACCATGTTTCCGTTACTTAGTAAGTAAGTTACTTAAGTAACTCTACGATTTTGCCGTTTCCATTCACATAAGTTACTCATTGCGTATGAAACAGCTTATGTGTGTCAGAAAGTTTTTTGACAGTTCTAAGAGCGCTTCCGTTAGCTTAAGTAAATTTCACTCAATAATATATCACACAACAAATTAATTATATTACTAATATATAAAATCATTTTTATATATAAATTTTATAAATGTTTGCAAAACAATTAATAAAATCAAAGATTTTGTTTAAATACTTACTTTCTTAGTGCGTTTGTTTACACCTCAGGTGATGTTTGTTTATATATTACATATAAATCAAATGACAAATAATTTCCTTGTCGGAAATTTAGCGTTGCATTCGATATTTTTAATCTAATTTTCCTTACATTATATGTAAGTAAAGCTGAGATTTTTTTTTCAGTGTAGCAAAATATACTGGCAACTTACGACAGAAAACATTTGTAGCAACAACAATGCTTATAAAATCTTCAGAGCTAGAATTTACTCGCAAAAAATTTTACGCCTTAGGTTTCAGTGTAGTTAAATTCAAAAATCAGTCTATTGTGAATGTTCACTGAGATATTAGTTCTGTTCCACGAGCTACTCATAGTAAAACATGAGTAAAACAGAAGTAAAATTTACACAAAAATACTTGAAAATTTGCTGGTGGAACGCGCTTGTGTGCAGTGTTTACTCAAAGTTACTATGAGTAGTTCGTGGAACAGACCTAATGTTTCGAAATTCCAGTCATTCGTTGAAATCATATGAGCAGAAATAATAATAATAACAAATTGCAATATATCAAGACAATAAGAAAAAATGCTTGCCATTACTCTTCTTTTAATAATTTTGTTTCCTTATATTTAAATTATTTAATTTTTAGTATTTATACTATTTAATATTTCATATTGTGGACAACACAACAAAAAATATACATCAAAAAAATGCATTTGACATATTTTAAAGGTGATGCCAATCTGTTTCAACCAGACGTAATGCTGTTTTTTACAACTCAGAACCAAAAATAACGGCTTCAAAAATTTAACTTGCTTGATTTATACTTCCCTCACTTAATGTGTTAAGGAGTAAGCAAATATTCCAATCTATCTATCTTAAGACCAGTGATTATTGAATATATCTCCAAAATATTGTTTAAATCTTTGCTGTTATATATATAATGTAGTGTGTCTAAAATACCTTACATTTCAGTATGCTTAGTTAATATTTACGTTTGCGATAACCAAATGCAACTCTGTATTACCTACACATAAATGTAAGAATTTTTACAATAACAACGTAGCAATAGAATCACATTGCTTTCCTACTAATTAAAATTTTTTCTGACGAATACTGTTTTGAACTTCAGAAATTTGTTTCAAAAATTTAGAAGTTCAAAGTTTCGAACGCCCAGTAGACGTCTCCAGTAAATTTCAATATTGTGGAATCTGTCGATTAACAAAAGATGGTTAACATAAATCGTTCTCACTTTAATAACTTCCCACAAGAGGAGGATCCAGCCAATAACAATTTGGTGGAGTCAAGCTCTAGTGATAGCGAGGACGAGGACGAGCTCGTTGAGATCTATCTTGAGCAGAGAGTACAGCTGAGGCAAATCTTCGAGCTTGATGCATACGGGTGTTACGGAATGTGGTGTCTTTTCCTCGCTGCTGCTAAGCATCAAAATTGGGAGGAACTATTAATACCTATTCCGCCCTGTCATGATAATGGTAGATTTAACATCAATTTACTATTACATGTTATAGACCAAACACCCAAACTAGATGTAATGCATGACACACTATTAGATGGAAATTATGCAGAATACCATCCCATTATTATCGAGCTCCTACACAGCGTATTTATAGAAATGGGTGAACAAGTATTGCATACCATAAGCAACAACAAATTTCAAAAGGTAATAAAGTTCTGTGGGTTAAATATGAACGCATTGTGTCCAACAGATGTTTTTGAATTGCGTGCGGCAGACTTAGAAGAAATGTCAGGTTTCCGCGATAACAGAAAATTTGGTTTTTATGGTACATCACCAGCTCGTTTTTATTCAATCTTAATTAATGGATTTATGAATAGCATGAAGACCGAAACTGAAGATGAGCCCGTAGAAGCTGAACATATGCACTTAACTACAGATTTTTCCGTAAGCTTAAGCCATAGTGATAAAGAACCATATTGGTACGATTTACGTTCTGGTGCAGTTTTCCGTTGTGTCGCTTTATGCGAGTACATAGATTGCTCTGACTGGGTGCAGTATAAAAAAGAGCCTAATCAGGAACACACGGATATCATTATAAGTAATACCTCCGCATTACGTGTGCAGCTGATAATGTTTTTCAAAGAAATACCTCCAGCGCTACATCCTGATGAGCCATTTGAAATTTTGAATAACACACATCGCAATGAAAAAAAATCAAAAGAGCAAAGTAAGAAGACTTACTTAACCATAGGATGTTGTTTTGCAGCGGGTATGTCTTTGTATTGCCTGTACCAACAAAACGCTTTGGGATTAAAGACCTTTGTAGATTGCCAATTTAATCAGTTACTTCAAAAATTTGCAGTGTCATTCAGCAAAATTAAAATGGGATAAACCTATGAAGTTGGGAAGTCACATAAAATTCACATTAAATTAAATATAAATTATGTTATTTTAAATCTTTTCGATTTAAAACAATTTTGTATACAGAATAAAGAATAAAGCTATATCAAAAATAAATATGTATATATATATAAATATTTATTGATATGAATAAATACAAGAGCTTTCAATATATTAATGAGTAGATCGATGTTTTTTAAATTAATTCTTACGTGGATAATGTCTTGAACAGTTGCTTGTAAATATCTTGTAAGCTTATGGTTTGCGTCTGGACCCAGTAATAATCTTAAATTAAATGGTCTTAAATAGATTTTTATTATACAAAGTAATTCTCTACTATAAATTTCATGTCGGTTAATTAAGATGTTTTCGAGAACAGAAGTATATAAATATGTTATAGATAATTTATATATTATCTATATAGATTTATATATGTAAAAAATCAAGATTTGTCATTTTTTGACAATTTGAAAATTTTGGCAATTTATATTGAAATTTGTGATTAGAAATATTAGGCGCTTTCAGACATTAACGACATTCCACCACATCAGACAATCCCATCTTGTTGAGATAATAAGGCAACCCATTGTATTCTATTAGGTAACTTGGCAGCAATTTATGCATTTGAATTTATATTACATACATATCAGTACTAATACTTGAAGTACAAAAATAAGTTAGATGTTATATACACATATATTAGTTATAGAAGTTTATGAAATTATGGTTCATATTTTGATAAAGTTGATAAGGGTATTTATATTTTTTATGGTGCTTTGATAGATTGACTGCAGTGAGTGGACAGTAGGTTAATTTTAACTGATCTCATTTTGGGATTTTTCGTCCTTTTACCACCACATTCCGGACAAAAAACCCTAAGATATGAAAAACAAATTAATGTCATCCTGTCAAATTTAGATACTTTAAAAGGTCTTTCGTCTTTACCTTCCTATTTTTATTCAATCCGAAAAACTGACAAAAAAGTACTTTTCTAAACCCTTCAGAGCTGGACTTTCATAAAGAAAATGCTTAATAATCTCTTTTTCCTATCAATTTCCACAACTTCTGCAATGAGTTTTAAAACGAGTAAGCAGTTCTTTGCGTAGGTTCCTATACACCAATGACCAGGGAGAACTGCAGTAAGTTTTGCAGTAGTCACACGGTTTTTTTTAACTTCCCAATAACTAGTGATATGTGATATGAGAACAATGTTAACCGAGAAACTACACGTAAACTAAGTTTCTTCTATATGTTATTGGAATAGCGAAGAAAATAAAGGTAAGTACTTGCTTTAACAATCTTCAGAGAAACATCAATCGGTATCCATAGGAATACATCTTGGCAGGTTAAATCGTTTGCTTTTTGATTACCAATATTTCAATATCCAGGAATCCAAATTAGAATGATATCAGTCAGCTGGTTCACATCATCAATTGCCTCTCTATATTCTTTCTTTAACAAGCTTAAATTTTATGTTGATAATAAAAATGGCAACGCTACATCTGTACTCGCAATTAACCCACATTCTGTCCTAATTGCTAAAACTTCAGCCCAACTGTAGCCTTGTTGGATAGGGAGTAGTTTATGTCTGTAAATGGCACAGAAATTTTTGCTCCTACCCCGCAGTCCATTTTCAAGACAGTTATAAATTTGGCTGTACTCAAAAAACTATACTATTTATCGATCATATTTCTATTGAATTTGGTCTTTGTACATTATAAACTGTACTAGATATATAGATTAGCTTAGATTCGTGTATTGATTGCTAATATACTAGATAATGGTTAAAATAGATGTTCTTTTAAGTTCAAAACTTTTTTTTTGGTTTTAATGTAAATGCATTAAAGTTGGACTGTAAAATTTTTAAGTTTTTACTAAAAACTATTTGTGTGAATATTAGAAATCGGTTTTGATTATAATATAATTCCAATATAAATGTATGGGTCTTTATGTCGTTTTCTGTACTTTTAGGAGAATAGTGTGTAAGACAAAAGTAAAACCGAAGATAGGAATGGAATGGAACCATGATTAGTAAAGACGATAGTGACAACAACATTGATCGTATAAATTTTATTGTATATTTTTTTTCGATATTGTTTAGTATTTGTAATTTATCATTTATTGTTTATTATTTAAAACTGAGTTTGTAAATAGATTGCAGTAAAAATAACCACCTTACATATTTCCAAGAACATTTATAATAAATCTCCGCCTTCAAAAAGAAGTCTAACAAACTTCGAAACGTTGGCGATATATATAGAGAGGACTTTAAAAAAATAAAAACTGATTTATAAGCTTTTATTTCATTCACATAAGCATTTTCAAAAAATATACTTTAAATTATTTAGAAAAGTAAACTCACAACTTTTATTTATTGAGGAAGTTGAATCTACAGAATCATTTTACATCCACGACAAGAGGCAATACATTTTAAACTCGCAATACTTTAAATAATTATTTAGTACTTAAAGAATGTATTAATCACCAAAACAAATATTAATTAAAATTTATTTTAAAACAACGATTTTTTTATAATTGTTATTAATTGAAATTATTAATATTATTTTTCATTAAAAAACTTTAATTCTGAATAAAAAAATAAAGCAATTTTCAATTATTTAAATAAAATCCAATGCGATATAATCCGATTTATTATCAAACTCTTTTCCATTTTAATATTGTTATTTGCTGAAAATCACTGTTCCTAATGCTTTCACTAGTACTAGGCAGATCTAAATAATACGGCAATATTTCCATACTTTTGGGTAGTTTATTAGTTGTAGTTTTTACTGGTGTCTTTAAACGAGGCTCTTTATAATCCAATTTCATTGACCAAAATGTTTTACAGTTTTTATCGTCTTCTTTTTCTTTCTCTTCCTCTTCTTCCGTTCAGCTTTTTATCGATATGGATGTTAATCTTTTTCTCTTAGGTTTAAGGTTTTACTGACTGGTATTTTAATTTACTGGACTGTTTAGTTTCTACTAAATTACCCCGTTCTAAAACCTTATGACGTGGTACATCTTTAAGCATTGCATTTTTATTCTTGGCTGCGTATTTTTCGATTGTCATGATACATGTACAGCAACTGGTTCGTATATGGTTGCCAATTATTTCTGTAAATTGCAACCAATTCGATGTTTCATGTTCTAAGACAAAATCTACTAGTTTTATGTCATCTTCAATTGTCCAAATAGTTTTTGAATCATAAGCATTAAGACAACGAGTGCATAACTGTAATGTCGTGTCATGCGACATATGAAGACGTACTCGTATAACTTTCAATTTCTCTCCATATTTCTTCATTCTCATGAGTTTCTTCATATACCCATGAGTTTAAGATCTTCTTCTGATGAAAATGGATCTAAAATAAATACATAATTATTTCAAATACATTATTTCTATATTTAACAAATTGTTCATACCAACTATGATTTATCTTTGGCTTTAGTCTACTGTTTAACGCGTTATAACAACATTTCTGGGTCTAAACCTATAACATGTAGGTTGTTACTGCAGTCCAATCAGTAATATTATTGGTAGTGTTTTTATTTACTAACACAATCAATTTAGTATCATGCTTTTTCTCCCACTTTTCGTAACGATTCCGTAAGTAATAGCGGACATGTACTTTGTTTTGTATAAAGCATTGATAATCAGAACGATCACCTACTACTTTTCCCATTGCTTGCCAATTTTGGAAGTCATATTTCTGTACAGCTGTTAAAGGCGATTAATGTCGTCTTTAGATCATTTAATGATGCATGCAAATAGCAATTCCATATTGTCCCATACGAGATTCCATTATGTCTGCACTTGACATTATCGAATGAAATTTTATTGGAGTCAGTATTGAAATTTACTTCCACTTTCTCTAGCAAACCTTTTAATTTTGATGAGAATAGATATTTTTTTACATTCACCAATGTAATTACCAACTGAAATATGTTTAAATTATAAATCAAAAATAAAACAATTTATTTTTCTTAACAATAAATTATTTGTTTTTTTATACCAAAAACAACAGATCTTTTATCATTCTCGGTTTAATTATGGTTCCTAATTAACACAAAATCCATAGGAAATATTTCTGCTTCCTTTTTACTTTGTATGTAGTCAGCATTGTCTGGAGCTAGACGACCGTAAAGATCTCTGAAAACCTTGTTACTTTCCAAAAGATATTAGCGTATTTGCAAAAATTCATTGTGAGTAGAAGCCTTGTTGCATGTTTTTTATTGTATGCAATCATTTGATTATATTGCATGAGCGACTGCCATTGCGCCAACATCAACCCACCTAACTTACTCATAGTTTCATTCATTTCTATTGACATATTTATTACTTTTTCAACTACTTCCACTTAAACTTTTACTTCAAAAGAACTGGTAAACAATTCGTTTTCCTTGTCTATTATTTTCTGCCCCGGTTCTATATATTTTATATGCATGACTTTAACCAGGTTGTCACACTCAGTTTTTAAAGCTACCCACAATTTCCAAACGATGGGCGTTTGTTTTATTATACAACCACCCTTTGTCAGCAATTTATTCTTCAATATCATTCGATGGCTCATGACCAGAGCCACCTGTTAAATTAGCTTCACTATTTTCCATCATTAAAAGCAACACCGCATTATCTCAACAAATCACCGTTCACATTTAGCGTGGATATAATTTCGCAATGAAGACGCTCACGAGGTTTGGTGATCACTGTTGCATATCTCATTTTGCAAAATTAGACCAAAGATCAATTTTTAAGACAAGTACAGTATATCACATTTTATTCCTGTCTAAACCATGATTTTACTTTAGTGTTGTCATTATTACACATCTGTTCCACGAGCTAATCGTAGTAAAATTCAAGTAAAACACAAGTAAAGTACAAACTGAGAGCGTAACAAACATGAAGTGCCAAATTACGCTCTTTACACAGATTTTCATGGAACAGCTTTGTGTAAAGTCTGGTGAGAATAGACATAACAGCTGATTCCCACATTAAAACCAATTTTACTTGAAGTAACAAGTACGAGTAAAGTCTGTGTAGCATTTTCAAATTTTCACAGCGATGTCACGCTCTCTCAGTTGCTTTCATTTATTCTCATTGCTGGTGGAACGCACATGTGTATACACAGTGTTACTCAAAGTTACTACGAGAAGCTCGTGGAACAAACCTATTATCACGAGCAATGAGAAGAATGATTTATTCTAGATTATATTACTATTATATTATTATAGATTATATTAATATAAATGATATAACATATAACATTTCTCAATAATATCATATCATTCATTTTTATAATATTAATATGATATCATAATTTTAAAATACTGTTTATAATACGAGTACATTGTATATAAATAATTTATTTATATTCAATATTTCTAAGAATTTCAATATGAACATTTGTATATTCTATGTTTATCTACTATGTATACTTTATGTATGACAAATTGTTACACATTTGTTAAAACGGCATTTACACTGGCCGAAAATAGATTATTTTGGTCAAAAATCGAAAATGAGCAGCGAATGGCTCATTCCTGTATACAAAATTTCAAGCGCGAATGCGATCCATTTCAACACATTCTGTATGAATGCGTTCCAACGCCGTTCGAATGCATTCCAAATATTTTCCAAATACAAAAGAGTACATTGAACATACCTTAAATAAAAGCTCTTCATGGCATTTTGACAGCTGTTTTTGACATATTTACAAGAAAAATGTAAACAAATGATTGGTGATTGCATTTTCTTCAAATCGATGCACCTCTTTTTACAGCTTCTACTCCCCAAAAAGTAGTTAATCAAAGTTAAAAATGTCTTTTAAGTTTATATTGTAAGGTTTGAAGGCAGTTTAACCTTCATGCAACATTTTTTTGGCACAGGCCAAAAATCAAATCAACAGTCAAGTTGAAAAATCAGCTGTTTGATATGAGAACAAATGAAATACAACGAATGTAAACACTTTCAGTTGGCTCCTTCAAAGTGATCCATTTTCGGTCAGTGTGTACACCATATAAGATAAATGCGAAAATATGAAAATGCGTTAACGCTTTAATTGCTCTCAATTAACGACAAGTATTTGGGTACACAAAATTTGTAAAAACATGAAAAACAAAACAGTATCTAATTAAAAATATTCATGATTCTATGTCATATTTGTTTAACTTTTTGTTTATTTCATTGTTAAATAACTATTTAACTTAAAAAAATCGAAAAGTTAATAAATTCATCAATTATTTTGGATATGCTGGATTTAAGTAATATGGCGTTTACACTAGTCTCAAATGACTGATTTGTGTTAAAAATCACAAATAAGAAGCAAATGACTGATTTTTGCGTACAAGACTTCATATGCGCAACACTCGCGCAATGGATCTCATTTTGTATAAATAAGTTCCAACGAGTTTTAAATGCAAATGAATACGTTGAACATACCCTATACAAAAGATTTTCGTGGCATTTTAACGGCTTGAGAAAGCTGTTTTTGACATATTTACAAAAAAAAGGTAAACAAATACTTATTTGGTGGTTGCATTTCCTTGAAAACGATGCATCTCGTTTTGGAACTTCTGCTTTCCAAAACAAATTGTATATCAAAGCTAAAAATAAGTTTTCAGTTGAGAAAGAAAGAAATGAATAACAACGAATGTAAACACTTTGAAATGAGTGATTTCAAATTAGTCATTTACAGCCAGTGTAAACGTCATATAAGTCAAAATGATCAACAAGATATCTAAAGTTGGAATCCTCATGATCAGTAAAACATGATAAATAAAACTTCACAATGTTTTCCATATGGTTCTCAAAACAGTTTCTAGCTTGGTGTATATATTTGCAATTCAGTATATATTTGCTAAGGTTATAAATAAAAATACTCGAAACAGCTCCATGATAGGTCAAAAAAGTTCAATAAATTAAAAATAAAAACATTCCTACAACTAATTAATAATTATCTCATTTTAATTGATTTTAAATAAATTAATATAAAAATAATAATTTCCGCAATATTCATTTCATCACTTTTGTACTTATAATCGGAATAACAGTCGGAACTTAATCCTTTTAGAGTTGTTCCATTTTACTTAATTCTTTAAATTTTTATATTTGTTTACATAAATCAGCTGATTAGTATTAGTTTGAGGGAAAACTTGAAATTATTCTTTATCTCGCATCTTACACAAGATGGCGCTGTGCTCTCTTTTATAAATTTGTACTCGGTTTTGATAAATGGGAATGAATACGGCAATACTAATAACAGCAGTAAGAATTGAAATAATTTCGAGTAAATTAAGGTAAATTAAAATGAAATTTCTTATTTATTATTTTTGGTTAAAAGTTTTCTAATTTTCTAATTTATTTATTTATTTATTAACGATTTTATAAAATTTTCACAAGGGTAACATCTAATTTATCTAATTTTTTATCTGATTTACCCTACTCGAAATTCTGGTAAATACTAACATTTACTACCATACCGATATAATTTACAATTTACCATCAATTTACTCGAACTCGCACACGGAAGAAATATGTGACGGAATAATTTGTACAGAAGTCAAAGCCCTGCCACCACTAAAACCAACGAATTATGTAGATAACATTAGATATTATATTATGCTTACAAAATACTTGAACTAAATTCATACATTATGAGAGATAAAAAACAGCAATAAAGATATATTTTGTATATAATCATATACAATATATATATATATATATATATATAATATTTAATTCAATGCATTACTTTATGGTAGCGCATATACGATAATCAGATAATTCAATAACCGTGGAAAGTGCATTGACACAATTCTACAAAATTATTATCAAAAAAGTAAGGTTTTCCCTATTTTCTGATATGAACAATATCATTCTTCCAAATAAAAGTCAACTATCATAGACTTGTAGACTTATTTTATACTAGCAGTATAAATGCCATGTTTCTGAAATACCTGAAATTCAATGCTTATTTAAATGTTTGGTAATAATCGTTATTAAAATCTGGTGAAGTGTGAAGTCGGTGTAATGGACTTTACCAGGTGTGCTATGAATGTATATTAGAATGCGAAGTGATTTGCCATGTTCTCATGACACATGTACCGTGATTAAAATAATCTACATATTCCCAAAATAAAGACTAAGGGATTATATAAATGGAAAACGACGTTCTAGAAAACTACATTGAGAGTTTTTAATAGGGTAAAGATGTCAATATTAAAAGTAGTGTTATGAATAAAAAGTTCTAAACACTTTCAGTTTAAGTCTTGATTAAGACCAATTTTTATTAAAATCTCTAACAGTAATTTTATGGCGTCCAAGCAAACTTTGCTTTTGGAAAAATTTTGATTTTAACCAGAGAAAAACTAATTTATATGATTTTTCTATAATTATTTCTTTTAATTTATAATGAAGTGAAACGTTTTCTGTACGATGTATCTAAATTTAAAACCGCTTAATAAAACCTTATTTGTCAAATTATTATGAACTCCAGATATCAGAATATCACAAACATTTTCATGGGTACTATAATATTAAAGTAGAATATATAATGACTTCGACTAATACGAATCAGAAAGCTGTTGCTTCAGCCAAAATCAGGGTCGCGAACTTAACGAAAAGCTACGAGGAAATGGTAGCTGCAGTAAAAGAGCTGGTCGAGTGTCAGCCTCAATTAAATGATCAAGAAATAAACTGGTTGTCTATTGCTTATAAGCATTCTGTGAATATACGCCGGGATTCTTGGCGTACTATTAAACAAAAATTGGACCAAGAAAAGGCTGCAGGCCACACCAAAAATGTTGAAAAGGCGCAAAAGTTACTGAAACAGATCGAGAAGGAAATGCGCTTTTACTGCACCGATATTCTACAAATGCTGGAAGAGAAAATTCTACCAAATGTAAAAGATGAAAGCGCTTTAGCTTTATGTTTCAAGTTAGTGGGAGACCATAATCGTTTTCTTGCAGAGTTTGAAACTGATAGAGCACAAATTCAGGCAATCGAGAATGGCTTAAAAGCTTACGAAGAAAGTTATAAATTGGCTAAAAAGCTAAATAGTACTAGTCCTGTGTTTTTGGCTATAGTGCTCAATTACTCTCTATTTGCAACTGAAATTGCCAAAGACACTCAACTGGCAATAAATATGATTATATCGGCACGTAATGCTATCACAGAGTATGACATACTTAGTAGAGAGACCCTTGTTATTCTCAAATGTTTGGATGAAAATGTGCGTCAATGGGCTGCTACAAAAGATTGGCAGTGAATAACATATCTCATATTTAAGTTTATTAGTTGTCAATTATTAACGAGTTTGTAAATTCGCATACAAATTGGAAGTCAACTTGAGAATATAATAAAGTTTAATGGTACAGAATGAATAAGATCAATAATGCTTAATATTGAATTCCAGATATCTTGAAATCTTGATTTAAGATCCAAATATCTTGTTTGCTTGAAAGGATGTACTAAGCTGGTATGTTTTATTCAAGCAGTTTATTTAAGAATTTTTTCATTATGACTACTAAATAGTTTATAATTTTGTTTTAAGAATAGTGATTTTTATTTTTTAAGAAAACCACAGATTTTAGAATTAGATTTCAATTTTTCTCTTTAAAAATCTTCTGGAAAATACGTAGATCAATTATTTTGTTTTTGTACAATTCCGCAGTGCAAGTACCTGGAGAAGACTGGGTATATGTAGGTACGTATTTATGTAGGTATATGCAAGTATGTCTACTCATCAGTGTCATGGCTATGATTCCAGAACAATTAATATTCTTTAAAATTTAAAGTTCATTATAGGATTAATGATGTATGGTATATTGGATTTGGTGGGAAGTACCACGTCTATATAGAGTTACGAGTAGACATTTGTAGGCATTAATGTTGGTTTAGAACGGACTCAGCACTTTTGTCATAATGTTGCATTATTAAGCGGTAATCAGCTTTTGATTTTTTTAAAATACTAAGAGAGCAGTTAAGGTGCGCATATATCTTGCCGAAATAATTCAGACTTTTTATTTTATATTTTATATACCGATGAATATTTTTAAACCTTTATATATATTTATAATCCTGATGCATCATGATGCATTCAAAATAATTCTTAGCTTTGGGAAATTTAATGTGATGGATGATTAATTTTATGGCTTACTAAGGGTCACTTATCCAGACAGTAGGTTTAGCGACTTTATTGCTTGATTGAATAGGTTTATTATATATTTAATATTATTGTGATTTAACACTAACACTGTTGGATGGAGCTAGATTGGCTGTCTCTATAATTTTTTAGTGTTGGGTTTTTAGGTAAATATATTATCTAGACCAGTGGCTCCCAATCTTTTCTGATCAAGTACCACTATAATGTTTTTATTTTTAGTAAATAGTAATAAACTGTGTGATTAATTTAATATGATTTATGCATTTCTGGTATAATATATACTAAATTGTATAAGTGCATAGGCACATTATATAGGCTATAAAATAGGTATAAAATTACTTGTAAATTATAGACAAACTATTAGCTATGTATCCATACCTGTTAAATTTGATTCATGGACTATTTTTGACTATGTCGCGGACCATCTGTGATCCGCGAATCACCGGTTAGGAACTATTGATCTGGACTCAGGAATATATATAGTTTCAATATAAATATTTTTTTTTAGTTTTCTCGGTGTTATAAATTTTCTATTAAGAAAAGTGTTTACAAATTGTTATTTAAGAGATTCTTGTGAAGCAATTTGTCGTTTTACCAGAAAATAGAATAATAGTGCCATCGGTAAATAGTTAATCCCTTAGATAAAGAAGTTTAACCTTATCTTGCATATCATTGACGATAAATAATGCTTTATCTTACCATGGACATTTTTTGTTAGCAGAAACTGCCGTTTTTTCAAATTAGTTATATAAGTATATTTAATTTTTTTTAAATTATAAGCTCAATATTTTTAAAGATATTTGGTGATGTTATTTTTTTTTCACTCCATATTCGACATTTAATATGTATTTGTGATCTCAATTTAAAAATTTTTTCCAATACGGAGCTACTAATGACAGTGTGCTGAGCAATCTACAAAAAATATTATAAAACAATTTTCATTTCATGATAATCTTTATCGTTTTTAATTCTTTTCATATGACTTTCATTGATTTCTGTACATATTTGAAGTTGATACATTCTATTCCTAAAACAGCCTCCAAAATCCGATTTTTTACGTTTGCACCTTCTAGATTAACTGAAGTTAATCTTCAGTTAACAGAAATCAACAACTTCTTTATTATTGCCGAGGATACTTTCGTTGAATTTTTTTTATATCTGAAAACGTCCCCAAATTTTGTTGAGGGAGCTTAAAATCCCAATTTTTAAAGATAATATTGAGTGAAAGTTTAAGCAAAACTTTTTGAGTTTCAATTAAAATTCTAGGAACCTATTGCGCTGGTATCCCAAATGATTGCTTGATGTTCGTGACATAGCTATGGCATTTAAGCTGCATAGTTTCTTAATGACTCATACCAATTAACAGAGTAGTAGTTAAGAGTATATATATAACTGCTAATTGTAGAGAAACTGCTCAACCGACAGTAAATTGTGAAATTGAAATTCTAGCAATGAGGAAGATCTACTCAAAAAAACAATATTTATGTAAAAGTAAAGTACTAAGCGAAATTCGTGGCCTTTATAGGGCAGATCACAATGTGGAAACTTACTTTAAGGAAGAAAATAAAACGAAAGTGAACTAAGTTGTCTTTTTATATTATTTTAAATACATTACGAGTTTTCTTCTGCAACCGAATCTAAACTTTCGTCCTCTGGAGTTTCTTCGGGTTTCTTTTTCTCTAGATCTTTAGAATCAATCCACGCAGAACAATTATCATGTAGAAAGGTAGTTACTGCAAGCCTTTTTACACCATCCTTGTCCCCAGGTGTGCGAATACCATTTATGCCTTCGTTATAGGCATTAGTAGCCATATTATGTGCGTCTTGGTATTCGTTTAGGAATTCATACTTAAATATGGAGTAATTCAGACATATAGCTAAACGTAGGGGATGCGCTATTTCTAACGAACTAGTCGCCAATTCGTGCCCTGAACTGTATGCCCTGTTTGCGTTTTCTAATATTAATTGACGTGTTTCACCCGTTTCAATTTCTGCCAGAAAACGATTGTGATCACCCATCAGTTTCCAGCATACAACTTTCGCATTGTCTGTATCAGCGTGTAGTAGTAGCTTCGTTTCCAACAGATCAAGAATTTCTTCACAGTAGTTCCGAATTTCATTTTGAATAACCTCTAGTAAACTCTGAGCTTTGTCAACGTTTTTCATGTTACCAGCCTCCTGTTCTTTAATTAGTGCATTGTTCACGGTAATGCATGAGTTGCGTCTTGCATTTACACATTTCTTGTATGCAACCGATAACCAGTATAGTTCTTCATTGTTGAGGTTTGGATCCAGTTCAACCAACTCTTTGACAACTGCAGCCATTTCATCAAAGTCCTGTATCAGTTCAGCAACTTTGATTCTCGCTACTATAGTTGCCCTAAGTTTTAGGAGATCCGAAGCCATCACTACACCGCAAGTTGATGAGAAAACGTGAAAAGTTTACTTTTTTAAATTTTGTTCGTAGTTACATTAATTTGGTATACATTATAATTTAGAAAAGACGAAAAGACAAACTTAAAACTTTTAAGTGAAATAAAATTTGAGTTCTGATTTGTTTTGAATGTTAAAACCAATTAAGAAAATATAAACATAGATTACTAGATCAACGTAAAAATTCTTGACGTTATGATGTATTCATAATATAAAATCATCATCATAGGATAGGATAGGAAATAACAGAGTACTAGCTTCCATATGAGCAGAGAACTGCGACCATGATTGATCTTTTGTGCTACAACAGACCCTAACTGAACAAAAGACATTCCGCCTTTCGAATAAAGATCAAAATGTCGGTTGTTGACGACTTCCTAATGTCGGAAGGTGTAAGCAATTCCCGACCCAGTGATTTCCTCCTGGCCCAGATCAAAGCTGGGCAGTCACATAGAATGTGGCTGGTTGTCTCCTCTGCCTCTAAGCAGAGTCTACAATCCATCTCTTCAGATAGGCCCATTTTGTTGAGATGGTAACGTAGCCCATGGTGATCCGTTAGATATCCCACTAGCAACTTCAACTCTGTTCTGCTGAAGGAGGATATCTTATTGTAACTATAAGGGAGAACCAGTTCTTTAGCCTGACGGTTACCTCGACTGTCACGCCAGTAGCGACTTCTCTCGGTTGAGGTCCAATCATTGATTAGAGACCTAGTTGTAGACCAACTTAATCCACAGAAAGGTTCTGGGCCACAGAGTAGAGTGGCGGATCCTGCCCGTGCAAGACTATCGGCAGACTCATCATGAGTCACTATATATTCCATGTAGGACCTAAGCCTGTTTAACAACATCTTTTCCTTTTTCTCTGTTTTTTTGGTTCTCTTTTCCAATTTCGTATGTTTATTTCTTCTAAATTCTGATTCATACTGTCATTCCATCATTTTTTTTGGTCGCCCTTTACTTCTGCTGCTTTCTAATTCATATTCATAAATTTTAAGCGGTACTCTGATATCCGGCATTCTTATTACGTGTCCAACCTATCTTAATCTCTGCTTTTTCATAAGCTAGCCGTTCTAGCTAGTGATTGTATCTTATGCCACACATCCCGTTTTCCTTCACAACGCCAAAAGTTTTTCTGAGTATTTTCCTTTCAAACAATGCTATATTGCTTGCTTCAGTTTCAGTTAATCTCCATGTCTCACAGTCATATATTACTACAGAGCGAATCAATGTTTTGTACATTTTTAGTTTAGCAAACAAAATTTTTTTTGCAGAGACTATCTAAAAAATTAAACTTAATCTTTCCAAAATGTACGCTATTGACACTTTCACTGCTGTGTGGCACAACATATTGATCACATTTTGATCTTGAACTCGAGCTACTCCCCTCCTATGTACAACTATATTCCTTGTGTACGATATGCTATTCACATTCTACTGTTTTGGTATATATTCCTATTGAACTTGTCGATGAGCTCAAATATACCGCTGCTGTGTCGTTCCATTAAACATAACTGTATTTCTCATATAAGGTATCCCATTCACAACTTCACATTCAGGCATATAGAGTTTAGAAATGCTTTTGGCAGATATGAACTGCAAACTGAAGTACCTCTACTATAATTAGCTAATTCGTCTCATGTTCTCGTATACTTTTTCCATAAGATCTACCATCAATCTTGCATAAATGGAAAAAAATGCGTCTATTTGAGTTGAAAGTCCTCTGCGATCGTTTGTGTACAAACTTGATAACTTACATCGATTAGTATATATTTTTACTTACTTGAGGATACTACATTTGGTTGAACGACCTAGTATCTTAATATATAATTTGACTTATCTGCTATTGGTCTCAATTAATTTTATTATATATTAATAAAATGTTCGATGATTCAATTGTGCCCGACATTTCCTTTAACAATTGCGGTTTTCGCGATAGCGACTATAGAGTATATAAGTAACATATACATACATTGCACGTCCACAATCATCTCGCTTCCATTTTTCACCTGTATTTTTATTAAGTTATTATTAATGAGTTCTAACCTATATAAAATTCGATTTTTAAGTATTGAGTGTATTCACTCTATATGCTCTATTGACAACTGGAACAAGATGTGCTTCTAACATTTCATCTCGAAGCAATACACCAACTAATCCATTTTAATGTGTTGAAAGCAAATATCGCTGATGTTCGTATTTATAGAAATTAAATTCGTAGTCATACAAAGTAATAGAGTATTTGGATATTTTTTGATGAAATGAAAATTTCAGTTATTTCTTGATATTCGTTAAATTGCAATTTTTCTCCATTGAAGTATTTTTACTATTTATTGACAATGGATAACCTTACTTTCAATTTTAACCACTATCGCAGCGATGCATAAATGACTTTCGGTTTAATTACCGACGTAAGCAATACTATATGCTATGAGTCATATCATTTGTATGGATAAGTACCTATTTGCGCTCGCCTGAAGATAAGTCATCTATCTACATAATCCACCGTGTAACATTCTTCAACTCATCTGACTTAGTGTCTGCCATCTGCTATCTGCCCTAATGTTTTTTCTCAGACTTACTTTTTGAAAGTAAGTCTGCAGAATCAATAGAACCTAGAGATCTCTTAAAACCTTTTATACTCCATAATCTAAACCTATTAACATGTAAATTCTACTTTCTTTACATTTGAAAGTTGTGACACCTTCGTACTTATTAATTTGTCATACCTTCTTCTTATATATTAGATAAAATAGTATAGAGGTTTTTTCGAACAGTAGTGAATTACAACAACAAAAATTTTATTTTTTTTCAATTATTTTTATTAATTGAATTTTTGGCTGACCATACAGCTGTTTCGAGTATTGCCAAATATCCATCATCAGTGGTCTTGGAAATAATTCTTGTATTTAATTATTCGTAAATAATTATTATTTTTTTTGAGACTACAAGTACCAGGATTCGAACTCGGGTCCTGATAAATGTGAAGCTCAGAATCAGCGCACCTTAACCAACTCATCCAAAGTCGTGCTGGTTTTTTTGTTCGGATATTTTTGTAGAGTTTTCTTACTTTTGCTATGAAATTTTTTTATTAACAATTTCACTTGCTGTGTTTATATTAGAATAAAATCAAAAACCAGCTGTAGAACAATTGAATTAATTAATTATATATTTATTTTTAATTGTTAAATTTCAATACTATTCTTTTCGTAAATAAATAGTAAATAAATTTCAAATATCTTTATGAGAAATTTATTCGATTTTTTCGAAACTTGACTTTCCAGATCTTATCCTTAAGACCACATAACCCGTATATGTGCATAAGCAAAATTAACTTAATTTTATTTTTCATTGCTCTTCAATGGACTGTTAGTGAAATCGAAAGTGTTACTTTCCCAATGCGTTTGCGGCTAATTCCTTTCACGTACTGAAATGTGGCCTCCAAAGGTTGCGCTATGACTAGTTGGAGTGCACACAAATGACAATACATTAGCAGCGCATTAGTTACTTCCCAAAAATCTAGTATTACAATCCATTTTGGGAGCAAACAGGAAGTAAATTGATTGACAAATTGCTAAAGTGCAGAATGAAAAAAGATTAACAATGTCATAGTTTATGATTGATATAAACCAAATATGAAACGCCTCAAACCAAATCAATTTCAGATACGAAATTCGTACTCTTCGTACTCTTGCAGCAGTGGTTGGGCGGAGGGAGGGATTGGCTATTTCGAAAGTAAATATTTTTCATTCTTTAGTGTTCAGTGAAGCAAAATATTTAAGAACGTACGAACTCTTATTTGTATTTATGTTTGCTGAGCAAATAGCTTTGCCTGCAAGAAATATTTCCAATTATGGGTTGTTTTTGCTACATTTTTTGGTTTTTCCGACAAATAGTTTGACTGTAGGAAGGCAAGGAACTTAAGGCTTCTGGAATGCACCGAGAAGTGCACCTTCATTAAGATTATTCAGTATTGATTTTATGAAGTTGATTTGGATACTTTAAATAGTAGAAATTTATTTACTAAAGATTTTAAACTTAAAACAGCTAAATGGTTAATATTTTTATATTTAATCATTCTAAATGATTTGGTTAATATGCCAAGTTGACTTTATTACTGTTGTAGACTACTTAAAGGTTATTATGAAGTTCCATTAAAATTGCTTGAAACATTTTTGGTAGTATGGTTTCCACTATTTATCGTGGCTTGTAATAGCAATTATCTTTAAACGATTTAGTTAGTTCAGTCAAACTATATAGAAGCCTCATACAAAGACTGTGATATGAAATTTTTATAATGGATGTAATACGACGTAATGCGTTTATTGAGTTTTCTTATCGTCCACGTAAAATTATTAATGATAGGTGGAAGAACTATAGTTTACAAATAAAATCAAGTCTCCCAATAGTGGGTTTGGCTATCCAAGTCGATTTGATTTTGACTAAACTGCATTTTGGTAAGTTGCCATGTATTTCCCCACTTTGTCAGGATGTTATTAATTATTTCTTAGAAAAAATGTGGGAATTAAAAAAAAAACAACAAGAGTCATTAGAAAGCAAAGACATAAATATTAGGATATTAAAACCTTTATCGTCCCGTTTTAAGACCATAAAAGCCTATCTACCTCTACTTTATAAATCAATTGCCTACAATTAATGTAGTTCATTATGTTATTATCAAATAATTAAAAAGTCTTGGAATTATTAAACTTTTTATGTAAATTATATTAGACGATGCTGAACTTATAATAGATATAGAATACAAAAAAACCTTTTTTTGTATTTATTCTTTAACAGCTATTAATGTAAACTTTCAAATTTAAAAACTGTTTATATAGTTTATGTATTTATTTTTATTTATATAGTGTTTTTCCGTATAAAGTTTCTAACGCTTTGAAATAGTTTGAATTTTTCAGCGGGGCGGGATGATTAAATAACTGAAAAGAGTTATAATTATATAATAAATATATATAA